TCAATAATATCATACGTATCGAATAAAATATTATTAATTACACTCATGTAAATAAAATTACTGAAATGTATATTCCAAAAACAACTTTTTATAACAAATGATTGATCAAAACATTTCTCCAACTGGTTTAATCATCATTTCATGTATTTGTACATGGGGTGGCGTGGATAATGCATACACAATACTCGATGATATATCTTCGGCTTTTAGCAAAGAGCCATTTGCATGATTTCTTATAAAATCAGGAATAATATCGGTATCAACAGCACCAGGGCTAATGCTCTTTAAGAGAAAAAAAAAACAAAATGAATAATTTCCAATGCATACAACAATCAGATCATCTAACCTACCGTAACTTTAATCTTTGTACCCAATCCTCTAAATTCTTGACGCAAAAGTTCCGTTATAGCCGTAATGGCAAATTTGCTGGGTGGATAAATATTAAATTCCGGCAGATCTGAACAAACTGGAATTTTGTGACCTGCAATACTATTGACTATGACCACGTGACCATTAAAATTCCTCTCCTTCATCGATTTAAATGCTCGCTGTGTACAATAAATAACTCCCATGACATTGGTTTGAAGAATTTGTTGCATTTCACGAACATCCATATTGACCAATTGTCCTCCCTTCAAACAGCCAGCATTATTGATGAGAATATCAACGGCACCAAATTTCGAAATAATTTCATCGAATGCCCGATTAACCGAATCTAAATCGGAGACATCACATTTCATTGCAACAAGATGAGATTTTTTATTATCCGGCAAATGATTTTTTAACTCTTCCACCCGTTCAACTCGCCGGGCTAAACCAATAACAAACAGGCCATGATTAATCAAATCTTTAACAACGGCCGCTCCAATGCCCGAACTGGCACCAGTCACTACAGCGATTTTATTTTGCCAACGTTCCATAGCCAGAATATTTTAAATATCCACCGAAGATCCACCTGCTTGCACAGCTGTTCGAAGACGAACTGAAAACATTTCGAAGTGTTTCCTAAGTCATTGATTTAAAGCTTTTGTTTTTTCTGCAATTAAAATGTAATTCTAAACAAATCGTTTATCTTCGGAGTCTAAAGAAAAACGCATGTTCAACAAAATGTTAAGATGAGAGGGATACTTTTTTGACAATCGAAGTTTACAAATATATTTTATAAAAAAAAAAACTGCCTTCAGCATTTTAATTCCCCAAACAAGCTATTGTGTTTTTGTTTTCACTCAAAACGAATATATCGAATATGTTAATTCAGCTGTGCAATTAATAACTCATCCGCCGAAATTAAAAAAATTCTACAATTAACAACACGAAAAGATATTTATAATTTTATAAGTCAAAGTATTTCGATCAAGTGGAATAAAATACACAATAACAAATGACTGAATCATGCCACTTATAAGATAATTAATTGAAGCTATTACCGTTTTTATCAAAAACAAAGTAAGCTAAGCGATATTGAGATGCTCCCTATTAGTGGAGAGGTTCATTATAATCAACAAACAATACATATTTAAGTTCGACCGAACCGAAATTTCATAACCTCAACTATGGGTTTGACTTGCCAATTGCGAATGTTCTGCTTCCATTATGAGGAGTGCATATAAAATTTGTCATTCCAATTGCAACACATCAAGACAAAACAAAGAATATAGTATTCTTGATCAGAATAAAATATTATGTCGATTTATTATGCCCATCTGTCGTCAGAAATCACGATAGAGATCGTAACAACTAAGAATTTGGCATTTTGCACATATATTGACATCGGTCCAGGTTTTAGTGGACCGACAATTTCGCTGCCAGAAAATTTCTCCTGCAATAAAGTCATATTCGTTTGATTTATTTACCACCGTCTTGTTGAAATCAGAAAAAAAATCGGTGACCATACCGCTTCGATTTGATGGTGACAGTCGTTTTTGAAGAAGTAAGGTCATATCACACCTCCGGACCAAAGAACGACCCAAACAGTTACTTTCCTGGATGTAATGGTCTCTTTTCAATTACGTGAGGATTCTCGGAACCCTAAATACGACATTTTTTTTAAACATACAGATCGATTGGGAATGGTTAGCTGGCTTCAAGTTTTTCGTAAGCTAAACTAACAGCGGCCAAAAATAAAAGGAGTTGTTTTATGTGGATGACATTTTATACAAGTGAATTTGTTGGAATGAATCGGACGAAAATATATATGGGAGCTATACATAAATCTGAACCGACTTTCACGAAATTTAACACACATCTTTCTAGGCTTAATTCAGTACGCTCTGCCAAATTTTGTGCAAATCGAAGATTATATATAGACTTTGGTGAGCCATTTACACAAAATCGGACGAAAATATATATGGGAGCTATATCGAAATCTGAACCGATTTTCCCGAAACTTACCACTCATAATTCTAAACCTAATTCAGTACGCTGTACCAAATTTCGTCAAATCGAAAGATATATAGATACTTAGGTTCATCATTTACCTTAAATCGGACGAATATATATATATGGGAGCTATATATATAAATCTGAACCGATTTTTCCCAATTTCAGTAGGGTTCGTCTTTGGGCCAAATAAATGAACTGTGCCAAATTTCGAATCAAAAATGCGAGCTGTACTTTCTTTACAATTTAACATGGACAGACGGACGGACGGACATGCATAAATCAATTTTAAAAATTATTCTATGCATATTCTCTATCTCGTTTCCTTTTGCCTGTTACAAACATATGTATAAAGACATAATACCCTGTACCAGAGTGTGGTGAAGGGCGGGGACGACCTACACAACTTCCACGAAAATCTAACTTTCTGTGGTTCTATATTCTGAGCGTGGGCAAGATTTCGCGATATTTGCACCCTCTTGACCGACTTTATGTCAACAAATATTTCTAATATTCAGTACTTGTCCAGATTCCCTTTACCGTGGATTACGATGTGATGTTGGGCTTTCAAATGTAGTCGATTGATCTACTCGAAAAAAAACACAAATAATTAAGTTTTCAGTCCATATCATCCCAATATTATAATCTTGACCATTATTATTATAATCCTTGACCATAACTGGATCCTCATGGAACATATTAAAGCGATCAGTGATATATTTCCGGCCTCTAGTGTGGTAATGGGTTACTAAATAATATATGAAGACGTAAGCACCTGTAAATATTTAAGTGCAACTCCTACATCCGAGTACATACGACAATATAATTGGTATAAATTTAAAGGTCAACCACTCCTTTTGGATATACTATCAACTTCTTGGTCTATGTCATTCAGGGGTAAATAATGTATACGCTATAGAATACAAATTTTGTCATTTTCGCACAAAAGTCAGGGTCCATTTGACCCGCTAAATATTGACCGATCTTTATCAAAACAGGCATACTTTGTCAATGGCCCGATCCCCTTCTCCTTGTGAAAATTCGAGATGTGTGGGCCATAATTGCGACCAGACAAATAAGTATTTGGTCCATTTCATCCTCTAATTGTTAACCGATCTTTACCAAAAACAGTAGGGGTCTTCATTGGCCGGAACCCATCCTACATGCAATTTCGTGAAGATTGGTCCATAACTGTGGCCTGTATCGTGTTTACAAATTAACATGGACGGGCGGACGGACACACATGTCTAGATCGACTCAGCTAGTCGAGATATGACGATCGGTATACTTAAAAAGTGGACCTAGGACAAATATGATAACATAGTTGTGAAGGGTATAAATATATATATATATCGGTTCAGATTTAGATATAGCTTCCATATATATTTTCATCCGATTTAAGACAAATGGTGCATCAAATTCCCTATTTATCTTTCGGTTGTCTGATTAAGATTAATTTTTTAACAGTGCGGCGTACCGAATAAGATGTATCAATTTTGCTATAAATCTTTTACATAAATTTTTCCCATGGTACGCAGACGACTCTAAATCTGCCCGAATGAAAATAAATTTATCATAGGTTGCGGAAAGACATGAGTATGTTCCTTCGAGGGAACATTGCCATACAATTGTAAGGATACATATATACAATATAACCAAAGGGTATCATATAGTCGTCCAGTCCGACTTTACTGCTTTCCTTACTGTTTTTTTTTTTTTTTGTTTTGCAAATGGTTTAAAATAGTTTTATGACCGATTTTTAGCTCCTGGCTGAATATTGCATACTTTTAGGATGACTTGCTACAACACGGTAGCCACAATGATAAAATATTTTTATATTTTAATTTCTTATTTTGCCACCAGAGGCTATAAGATATTTTGTATTGTCATTTGTACTTTCCCCTGTTATGGGAGAATGATCGAGGAAATATAATTTTGCAATTGATCAAGGTTTTGTAAAAATATTGCATTTTTATACCCTTCACCACACTGTGGTACATGTTATTATGTCTTTCCTTTAAAGACTATACATAAAACCACATTCTGAGTCGATTTATGCATGTCCGTCCGTCTGTTGATGTTAAATTGTAAACAAAGTACAGGTCGCATTTATGATCCGATTTGGATGAAATTTAGTATAAGTCACGTATTTGGTCCAAGGACGATTTAGATATAGCTCCCATATATATATGTTCGTCTGATTTGATAAGTGGTGCACCAAACTTCTAATGTTTGTTCGACTGCCACGAAATTTCGGCCCAGTCCGACTTTACCACATTCCATGCTTTAAACATTTTTTTAAGAATTTTAAACTTTTACCATCATTTTGTGGACGGGGAAAATACATATTATGATTGCCAACAATTGTTGTTTTCAGTTGCGTTTCTTTAAATACTCTTCTCTGCCCGATTATTTTTAATTTATTTTTAGTCTATTGAAATATATTTATTATTTTGGTTATTAGCAAATTTTGTCAATTGTTCTTCATATACAAACATAAACTTTGTTTTGTTTAAATAATATTGATCAGACTAAAACATATGTCTTAAAAATATACTCTACTAATTGAAATAGCTGTATAAATAATTGCAACTCATACTGCAGTTGTTTACAGTTTGAATTTAGACTTAATTATGGAACGTTGGCAAAATAAAGTCGCTGTTATAACGGGAGCTAGTTCGGGCATTGGAGTTGCCATTGCTAAGGATTTCGTTATGGCTGGACTGCAAGTCATTGGTCTGGCAAGACGCAAGGAGTTAATGGAAAAACTTCACAATGATTTACCAGAAGATAAACGTTCACAATTTACTCCCATGTACTGTGACATCAGCAGTAGGGAGAGTATAAATGAAGTTTTCGCAAATATTTTAAGTCAGTTTGGAGCTATTGATGTTTTGGTGAACAATGCCGGTTGTATGAAACTGGGACAATTGTCCTCGATGAAAATGGATGATGTAGAAAAGGTTTTACATACCAACGTATTGGGGCTGGTGGCCTGTACCCAATTCGCCTTTAAATCAATGAAAGAACGTAATTTTAATGGTCATATTATAAATGTAAATAGTATCGCTGGCCATTCGGTTCTGTTGGGAATTCCAAATCAAACACCGGCATTTAATATTTATTCACCGACCAAATATGCTATAACGGCAATTAATGAAATATATCGTACGGAATTTCGAGATTTGAAAACGCAAATTAAAATATCGGTAAGTGTTGAATTTTACTTATATTATACCCTTATGACTGTTATGTTCAATAATGGGGAAAATAATCATCATTGAAATATTTTAGATCCCAAATGTCGTTGGAAACAATATGTTTCTAACAGTTGAATTCGATCATAAAAGAAGCCGAATTAGACCCAACTAATATCATGTTTTGAGAGACATTGGACTTTTAAAGACTTTTTTTTAAAAAATTATAATCTCATTGGAACGGATGATCAGACTTGATTCAAACTTAGCTAAGAAATAAATATTGATCTATGATCTACTCCTGCGGGTACATGTTTTATAGAACTACTAGTTTTTCAAACTAGAGACAATGCCAGACATATAACAAACGAATATTCAGCAAGATGTCCAAAAAATGGAAATGCTGATTTACAAACACATTCATTGGAAAATAAGTCTAAGATATTCAAAAATACCTAAAATCGGTCGGGAATAAAAATAAAAATGTTCTGGTTATGTCCTCTGATGCAGCGAAACACCAAATTACAAAAACTTAACTTGAAAATTCTACGTCCTTTAAAATTCCATAATGAGGGTGACCATTAATGATACCAATATAGGTCCATATACACTGTGTCGAAGACTTTTACTGAAAAAGCTAGCTGAACAAATCAGACACGCGATTAATGTTAATATTCTAGGAAGAGAACCTCCCTCATACTTTTAATGAATGCATTAATGGAGGGATATCACAGTCACACAGTGGTTCTCCGGTCCCTCAGTGGTTCTCTCTTCAAAGGATTCATGAAAAATACTTATATATAAAAATTTTCTTCTTGAAATTTATCCTATGAATCATAATGAGGGTCTTTGAAAAATATCTGACCAGAATGAGACCCCGATTATACCAACACTCCCAATTTTCCACACAATTCAATTCTAATTGGTAACGCCACAAAATATTACAATACCGACATTTATATCCCGTCTAGCTGAATCGATCTTGCCATGTATGTCCATCCGTTCATTCGTCAGACTACTATAATTTGTAATCAAAGTACAGACCACATTTATGGACCAATCGTCACGCCCGTTCGTGGTCAAAGACGACCCCTATAGTTTCTGGTAATTATCAGTTAATATTTAGGGGATAAAATGGACCAACATTTTTATTTTTTCTAGTCGCCATATACCCGAAAACCACAGGGAAGGAGATCTAACAGAATAATTAATTTTCGATGAAGATCGTTCAATATTTAGAGGGTCAAATTTAAAGTATCTTTAAGACAATTTCAACTATATTGATGTTTGTGGTCGGATGATTTTGATAAACTCAACCTTATAGCTAATGAGGGTATATACACTTTGTTACGGCAAAAATGTGCTTCATCGAAAATTTGCTTTTAGACGCCATGGACCAAATCCGTTTCAGACAACAAATGTCAGTCCGTTTGGTCGCCTGGTGCGCACGATAATTCTCGACGAGTAACCGATTTCATCCAAACTTTGCACATTGTAATGTTTTCTTCAAACTTAGTTCAAGTTCGAATATAACGAAAATCGGTTCATCCAAAAAATGGTCTAAATTGTACAAAAAATAATTTTATGTCATTCGAACAGACTATCCAAACTTTGTACAAACTATTATCTTTACCAAGCCTACATCATGTCGGAAGATGGACCCATTGGTCCAATCCTTCTAATACCTCCCCCACAATGGTTCAACATTTGCAATATTTGTAAATTCAATGAAATGAATATTCGATTTGAACCAAAATTTACACAGCCGATTATCTTGGATCAAGTCCAAGCCTAGATCATGCCCGAATGTGTGACTGAATTTTAATAACTGATTTAATCAACATTAAATCTGCAATCTCTTTGATAAAAAACATATACATTAATAAAGCGAATAATAAATCCTGTATGTAATTCCGAAGATCTACGCAAAACCATATGCTGAGGGTATACATCTGTCGGCAACACCGACTGACGCTTTTTTACTTGTTTTATTACAATTATTATTCAAATTTCTTTTTTTCTTTCAGAGCATTAGTCCCGGCTTTGTTGACACCGAAATTATCTATGATGACTTACGTAAGGTGCTTGGTGAATGTCTACTCAAACCCGAAGATGTTTCAAATGCCGTAATGTTTACACTTTCAACACCGCCTCATGTACAAGTTCATGATATGATTATTAAGCCGGTTGGTGAAATCGTGTAATTCAGTCAATCTGAACTAAGGATTACTATAAATCTTATTTTATAAACTATAAATTTTTTACAATAATAAAAAAATTAAACATATAACATTTTATTATGTTACAATTCGTTTTATTTAAAAAAAGTCATTTACTGTTGGCAAACATGCACTTAGAACCCTGAATCGATATCGGTATATCAAACAAAATAAACCATGAAAATTTATCAGTCTGACATACAAAAAAGTTTATTTTAACCCATTAACGCCCAAAAGAAAACTATCGGTCAAATATAAGGTTTCTATAAAAAAAACTTAAAATTCATTGCCCTGAGGACACCTGTTTATCCTCATATGGGGACAGAGGACGATGATAATGGGCTAAAAATAGTCTCCAAGTAATATAAATTGTTATAGTAATTTTAAAAGTTAGAAATATTTTTTTTTAATCTTTGAGCCCAACGATTCGTATGTAGAGGATACTGGGGCGACAATTGCGTTTTCGATATGAAGCTCTCATTGTGCACCACTAGCTTCCATCCACAATCAAAATCACGTGCGTCTAATAAGCTTGTTTAGATGCACGGGTTTTTTTATTTTTACAGATGTTTTCGTAATATTTCCATTCCATTTCGTAAGTATTTCGTGTATAAAATTTTTCATATTTTAAGGTAGTACATATTATTAAAAAGTCGTTAATTATTATGTATATTCTTAAAGAAAAAAACAGTAAGGAAAGTAATAAAGTCGGACGGGGCCGACTATATAATACCCTTCACCACTATGGGTATATTAAAAAGGTCATTAACATGAAATTGGATGAACTAAAATATATGACCTTTATCTAAATGTGAACCGACTTAGATCAATCGATAAACATGTCATTCGTTTGTTACAATGGGACCACATTCTGTAAACCGGTTTAAAGCAAATATCAATCGCGCACCCGTTTAATATTTAGAGCTCAAGTAATACGCAATTACGTCATTCAATTCAGAAAAACATGAAGAGTCTATGGTGCACCATTTATTTAAAATCAGAAGAAAATATATATGGGAACTATATCTAAATCCGAACTAATTTCAGCAAAACTTGTCACATATTATATTACACACACTTTAGTACGTTGTGCAAAATTGTGTGGCAATCGTCCTAACTTTGGGTCTTAAAATCGGACAATTTTCAGGAAAATTTACACACATCATTCTAGACTCAATTCAGTACACTATGTGAAATTTCGTTCAAAATTAAAATATATGGGAGCTATATCTAAATATGCACCAATTTTCATGAAACTTACTTAATTCAGTACGCTATGCCAAATTCGTCCAAATCGAAAGATATATTATGACTTAGGTACACCAATCGGGCGAAAATATATACGCGAGCTATACGTAAATCGGAACAGATTTTCACGAAATTTGGCACACATTATTCTAAACTCAAGTCAGTACGCTATGCCAATTTTCGTGAAAATCGAAAGATATATAGGGACTTTGGAGAACCATTTACATTAAATAGATCGAAAATATATATTGGAGCCTTATCTAAATCTGAACCGATTTTCAAGAAATTTTACACAAATCATTCTAGACTCAATTCAGTACGCTATGCCAAATTTCGTGCAAATCGGAAGATATATAGGGACTTTGGTTCACCATTCACTTGGAATCGGACGAAAATATATATGGGAGCTATATCGAAATCTGAACCGATTTTCAAGAAATTTTACACACAACATACTAGACTCAATTCAGTACGCTATGCCAAATTTCGTGCAAATCGGAAGATATATAGGGACTTTGGTACACCATTTACATGAAATCGGACGAAAATATATATGGGAGCTATATCGAAATCTGAACCGATTTTTCCCAATTTCAATAGGGTTCGTCCTTGGACCAAATAGACTAGCTGTGCCAAATTTCATCCAATTCGGATCATAAATGCGACCTGTACTTTGTTTACAATTTAACATGGACAGACAGGCAGACAGACAGACGGACGGATGTGCATATATCGACTCAGAAAGTGATTCTATGCATATTCTCAAAAGGAATCATGTGTCTATCTCGTTTCCTTTTGCCTGTTACAAACATATGCACAAAGACATAATACCCTGTACCACAGTATGGTGAAGGGTATAATAAAATATATGTTGTTTAGAAAAAGGATAGAAAAAATAAAAAACGCTTATAACGAACGCAGGTTATAACGAACTTTTTAAGATAGTTTTTTTTACAAATCATTACTCTAAAGAACTATTTTCGGTCCCATCGTTCGCTTTTCATTTATTTTAATTCCGTTGTAACGAACTTGGTTCAAATATACATAATACTACACGATAACAATAGGCTCAAAGTAATATAAATTGTTATAATAATTTCAAAACTGAGAAATATTTTTGTCGTCTTTTTTGGAGTCTAACGATTCGTATGTGCTTATGGGTATCATATACATATGCTCAAATAAAAAACAGCAATTAATATTTTTGCAATCTAATCTGCATTTTATTTATTTAAAATGCGAAATGAATTGCTAAAACACAACTTTTTCAAAGTCATTAAAAGTTAAGATACCTCATTGCCACTGAAAATACGTCATATATGGGACGGCACGTAAGTGAATTTTTTTTCTTTTTTTTTAGAAAATGTTTCGTATTTTAAAAAAAATGATTCAACTGTAGATGACAAAAATGGCAATGGCAAAATGAATTTAATTGAACCTTGAATTTCATCCTTATGCATCGTATTCTTTCGATTGGACTCCTATTTTAAGATACACTCCACTCTATTGCGGAGCGTATAAAATAGAGGGTTATGTTGGTCAATGTTTCATCCTTTAAAGTTATTACTGAAAATTATAATTAATTCTGCAGTCTTATAAATACTGCAGTAGTTCGCAGACTTTTTACATGTTAGTAGACCTACTATTCATTGAGAATCTAACACAGTGTGTAGTTTTTTGCGTAACTAGTTCTGAAGATAATGACTATTTTTAGAATAACAACTCGTATGCACTTTAGTGCCTCATAAAGAAGTGCAATCTCACTCATTTTGCTGAAATGACAACATTTAATCTTCAAAGAAATCTAATCTGCTTTTTAATTTAGAAAATGACTTGCTAAAATTATATTCTACAAGGTGAGGTGTGTTGACATTTAAAATAAAAAGTACAGAAAATGTACATATGGTACTATGGTATGGTACTATTTACTTTTAAAAGTGGAAACGTCGTTATGTTCTACAGACTCAGAATTGGATAGCATTATTCAGAAAAAGATAATTCGCATATTTTATGAATACAATTCATAAAACGTTAAATACCGTTTTATTGTCAGAGAAAGTAAAAAAAAACACATTCGAGTGTTATTTAGTGTGGTAGTGATGGCGGGTTTTCTATGGGGCATATGTCTTTTCTCGTTTTCATATTTACAATGTAATACATTCGTGTTTGTCGCATCAACACATGTTTGATATATTGTATTTGGCATCATTTAGAAATTACATATGCGAATTTTATAAAACCAATGCGGAGATCGGTAACAGTGTCTGAATGAGGAAAGAAGCGGAGAAAGATACCAAAACTAAACACAGTCTATAAACGAATACATACGAATACAGTCTAACAATTAATACATATTTTTTAAAGAGAGAGAAGGAAAAATAAACACAAATAGTGGTATAATTGAGCGAAGTAGGAAAATAGTAGTGATATTAATGACATTTTCACATTTTTAGGAAAAAATAGTGGATTTCTCATGATAATAAGAATTTTTATATGTATGCTAAGGGATATACATCTACAATATGGAAAACATAAACTATAAATTGAATTCCACTATGTTGGATATTATTATTAAAAAGTCGAATTAAATAATTCAATGTACTAAATTATTTGGTGGGAAAACTTATTCAAACAGCCGAAAATACCGAACAAGAATGGATATCTCTGTATAGGGGCTATACTCAAAGTAGACCGATATCGATAATTTTGAGTACCCAATGAGAACTCAACCAAATAACAGGTCAGTTAAATAATGTTTCTAAACACCCCAGAAACCGCAATAATGGGGTTATCGTTATAATTTTTAGTAGGGAGAATTTCTACCCAATAAGATGTCATAGTACCAAATTACCGCAAATTCTGTAAAAAACGTTGCCCAAACTACCCAAAATACCGGATAATAAGGGAACTATCATAAAAACTGCACCTATATTGTTAGGGAAATTTGCTACCCAATGAGAACTTGAAGTACCAAATTACAGCCAATTTGGTTGAAAACCATGCAAAAATCCAAAATACCAAATATTTGATGATACATTTTTTAGGTAAGACAGCTCAATTCCTTTCTTGTTGTTTTAAAAAATAAAAATAACAAGATTTTTATTTTTAAAGTGGGTTATGGTCACATTGATTACTTTCGGGAAAGGCAGATAATTCAGATTCGGATCGCCACAAATCCTCATCAGTTCTCTCAGTTTTTTGCTTGGGGTATTATCCCAGGGAATCATGTATCACTCCACTAAAAAAACCCTTCTTCCCCAATTTTGTTACGTCCACAACGTCATACCGTTAAATTGGGGCTATACCAAAATCGGTGCAAAATATCTAACCTCTATTTAACGACCTACACTTAAATATAATTAGATACACTTAATTAGATAGACTTAAATATATGTATATTTGTACATTGTTTTATACAAACAAAATTTACCAACACTGGTCACACGCAAAGCAATTTTTTAACACACGACAAAATTGCTCGTCATTATCAAAGCGTTACAAGTGGGCATGCATATAATATATACGTCACCACTACCATTAGATCTCTAACCTGATATTTAACGATTCAAATCAAACGTTGCTGTTGTTGTAAAACTTAACAAACAATTGTGGAAATTTATACAAAAGTTCATTGATACCAGTTATTTAAATTTTTTCAACACTTCTTATCTCTCTTCACTTTAACTAATCAATATTTTTCTTATCTATTTGCTAAAAAATATTGAAAAGTGAAATAAAAAAATAGACACCTATATCAATGTAAAACAAACAGCCGATAGTTATTAGTTTGCAAAAATTATTCAATATGGAACGTTGGCAAAATAAAGTAGCTGTGGTGACCGGTGCTAGTTCGGGTATTGGTGCTGCTGCAGCCAAGGATTTAGTTGCTGCCGGTGTTAAAGTCGTTGCATTGGCCAGACGTAAGAATCGCGTTGAAGAAATCATTGCCAGTTTGCCAACGGAACAGCAGTCGTTGTTAACCGCCATAGAATGTGATGTCTCCAAATTGGAATCTGTCAATAAGGCATTCGATGAAATTGTTGCCAAATTTGGTGGCATAGATATTTTAATTAATAATGCTGGTTGTACCTTGGATGGACAATTGGTTGCAATGGACCCAGTGCAATTGCAAAATATTTTGCAAACCAATGTTATGGGCATTATCTATTGTACTCAGCGTGCCTTCAAATCGATGAAGGAACGTAATGTCGATGGTCATGTTGTACTAATCAATAGTATTTTGGGTCATAAAGTGCCTGGTTCTTTTGGTCAAGTGCCTACATCTAATATCTATGCACCATCGAAACATGCTGTTACCGCTTTAACTGAAATGTATCGCCAAGAATTCAGCGGTTTGGGTACCAAAGTGAAAATCACAGTAAGTTGAAAAAGAAAAAATCTATGATTATTTTATACATAGATTAAGCAAAAATATTTCAATTATGGTGTCATGTGTGCTATAATCACTCGCACAAAAATGCGCTATAATAACTACAAGGGTTTAAAAATTATTAAAATTAAAAAATAAATTAAGGAAAATCGCAATGTCGGACTAAATAATACCCTACACCACATTGCGTATATATCAAAGGCAAAATGCGGTATATCAATCTCTCTTAAGATTTTGGTGGTATATTCAATGTCATTGTCATGTATATTCAATGTCAGCAGACTCCTTATTTTCACCGGATCAACCGAAGATTCCGACGATGAACTCGGTCAAGGAATGGGTCCTTTATATAGCCGTCGACTGACAACCAATGACCTTCACTTGCAAGTAATTGATCAGAAATTGTTGGCATAATTTCCCCAGTAGTTCTTGGGCCACCCCGAGGGTTAACTTGATCCAACTTCACACACGACGTCGGAATTCTTTCGATCGAGTATTCCGATAGATTTTTGAGAAATTCGGAATAAATTTAAGGTTTCTCTTAATCTGAAGAATCCCTTGTCTCGACTATCAGGAGTGTCTTAATGCTATTGATGTGAAAAACGTAGCTTGTAGGCAATCCTGCAGACAATAGCAACACGTAATGCGAGAGAAAATTATCCGGAGAAAAGGAGAGAGAGTAAAAACGTATTTTGAAAAAAAAACGTGAGCAAGAGCAAATCGAGATGTACAGGAGTCAGAATGAAGTCCTGAAATTTTACAAACGAGTAAAACACTAAACCGAAGGCATTGGTGCAGGCACATCCTCCTGTAGAAATGAAGAAGGAAACCTGGTGGCAGATACAGACAGCGTGTTGAGGATCTGGAAGGAGTTTTTTGCAAAGCTTCTGGTAACAAATAGCCAATAAGAGATGACGGTATAGATTGTATACCGCCTAGCCAAGATGAGGTCAGAGTAGCAATTAATCGGCTAAAGAAGAATAAAGCAGGATGTACCGATGGGTTACCAATCGATCTCTTCAAGACCGGTGGTCAGATGCTGGTCAGGAGCATGTACCAGCTGATTAGTACAATTTGGCTAGAGGAATGCATGCCCAATGATTGGATCCCCAGCCCCCTATGTCCCGATAGACCTATCAGTTCAGAAGTGTTTAAAGGCATGACTGCTTTCGGCATTCCTGCAAAAATACGTCTATACAAGGCCAGCTGTTAACGTCGGAAAGGACCTCTCGGAACCCTTCAATACCGAACGAGAATTCATACAAGGTGCCACTTTTTCGTGTGATCTTTTTAATATCCTGCTGGAAAAGGTCATACGAGAGGCAAAGCTAAGCAGAACATTTACTCCCCTACGCCGATGATATCGGCATTTTGGGTCGAACATAGCGATCGGTAACAGGCACCTTTGAACAAATTTAGAAGGAGTCTGCC